CCAAGTATCAATCATTATCATGCCATTTTCATTATTCTTGCATGCTACTGGTATTTTTCACTACACTTTTAAAATAGTTTTATCCTAAATATTTCTGATGTCACAGAAGTTATATTTTTTCTAAGATGTTGAAATAATACATACCTAGTAATATAAAAAAAATTATCACTTAAAATCTTACATACAGCACATTTTGAGTTGTATAACTGATAAATGGCAGATCAAAGAAATTTTAATAGTTCCCACAATATCAACTACATTCAGAGTATTTATTCATTGAAATAAATGGGATTAAAATAAGTAACTGCCTGTTTCCAGACTGCACTGCCCTAGTAGTTATTTTAAACCTTGCTACTTTTCAAACTTTTAAAGAACTGCTTTACCATTTTTTTTCTCCCTAACTATAAACATAATGAATACTGACTGCAAGAAAATAATTTAAGACAATATGGTTTAATGAAGAAAACAAAGCCTAGTAATTTTTCATTCAGAAATAACTAGATGGTTATTTTGGTACATAATTTCCTCACTATTTTCTATGACTCAGCAACCAATTTTTTTTAAAGTAGCTGGTCTTATAATTTTTGATTTGTAACCTATTTTTTTTTTTTTTGGTTTTTCTCCGGTACCGGGAACCGAACTCACGACCTTGCGCTTGCCAGGCAGGCGCTTTTTGCCGCTGAGCTAAATCCCCAGCCCCTTTGTAACCTATTTTTAAAACTTCACATATCATAGATGTTTGGATGTACTGCAACATATTTTATCAAAAATATTAATGATTTAGGTTATCATTTTTAAATTAAAAAATAATACTCCAATACATTCTTTGTATACACATGAAATCATTTACTTAAATTCTTAGGAATGCAAATACTAGCATGAAGGTTTTATAATGAGATGTTATCAAGCTGCACCTGCTCATATAACTTTAACTTTGTAACACTTAAAAAGCCCCTTGCACAGACAAGAGGGCTCTTTAAAAAGTCATTTAACTCCTACTAATAAATTATGCCTTTTCTAGTCTGGGACACAAATATAAATTATAGTAGCGTAGAAAGATTCAGAAGACGTGAGTTATAGTACTGTGTGTCCTTGTATAAATCACTTTCATTTCTCAAAGTTACTGAGAAAATTAAATTGGAAAAATTCTATAAAGTATATAAAAGATATATAAAAATTCTATAAAATCACTCCAAAGAAGGCCACACTACACTAACCTAGTGCCTTAAGTCAAGTGGAACTTCAATGATGCTAGACCAACTTACCTCACAAATAAATATCAAATCAACTCTGCTGCTAATGCCAGTAAAATCTTATGCTCCAATATCAGGAACTAGATTCCTATCCTTTTTCTCCTGATGGATCTCATGAAGCTTGCTGCCTAGTTCCACAACAAATGAAATAAGATCCCTTCTCTGATTTCCTAGTCTCTCCTACCTAAAATTCTGTCCACAGCTTGATATTTCTACCTTCCCCTGTCATCTGTTAAGAACTCTCTCTGCTATTTCCTAAAACCTCTCTGGGTCCTAGAACCACAACTAGCCTGTTTGGCTCATCTGAACAATTTTTATAATTTTATTTTTATTTTTATTTTTTTGGTTTTTTTCCGGTACTGGGAACTGAACTTAGGACCTTGTGCTTGCCAGGCAGGCGCTGTGCCCGAGCTAAATTCTCAGCCCCACATCTGAACAATTTTTAGTTACATCATCAGCAAGAAACATTAACTTCAAAATTTCCTGCTGCCAGTGGTAACACAAAATTTCAATAAACTTAGTTAACACGTAAACACAAACTAGAGCCATGTATTTATTTCTTAGTTCTAAATACTTATTCTTAGCTCTATTACCCATTCACCTCTTCAAGACCTTATTATTTAATCAAATAGGATTACCAGATTCTCTTCTGAACATACCCAATCATAACTGAAAAAGTTTTCGTATAGAATGCTTTGGTTCAAAAAGTTAACTATTTCCAGTCCTCAATCGAAATACAAATTCCCCTAAGAATCTTCCTGATGATTATAGTTTCAGTGACTATTTCTGAACTTCATATTCCTCTACTAAACACCTTTTATGGAAGTATTACTCTATCTTGAATTACGATTCTGAATTTCTTTCACTCAGATCTATTCTAGCATGATAGGTAGTAGCTACACGTAGCAATTTGGCACTTGCAATGTGGCTCATTCAACTTGAGCCATATTTATACTTGGTATAAAAATAAAACTGCATTAATTTAAAAATACTGATCACATATCAAAAAATAAATTTGTATTTCTGAAAAACTTTTTTGAAATATTTATTAATTTCAGCTGTTTATTTTTTTAACACAGCTATTAGAAAATTCAAAATTATGTATTTCTATTGGACAGTTCTATTTTAGATCAGGGCCGTGGCAAAGAGCTTAGCAGATTGTTACTCATACAAAGGCATCTACAAAGAGGCAAGGACTGAAATCAAAGCCAACTTCTACTGATTAAACCATGCACCTTACAAAGCTGTATTTGCTTAGTGCTGTATTAGCTGTATTTGCTGTTATTTCATTCAAAAGTGTTATCCCCTAACCGAACTATGAACCCTGGGAGGCTCTGTGTTCAGGAGGCATGCTTTGTTCTAATTTGCACAAAGGCATCCTACAATCTAGCAATAATCCTATCATGCCTTACTCATGTTTTATTTACACATACTAGATGAATGAATATCCAACTCTTCCTTCTTCAGACACATTTCATCATATACTATCTACTACTTTAACTAATTAGAAATTATAGCTCTCAAAACTGCCCACAAATTAACTTTCGGACTCAAATTTTTACTTCTATCACCAAAAAACAAATCACTGCCTACTTTTCTTTTCAGAGCTTTATATTTCTAAAGTATTTAACCACTGCTAACATTCTATATAAATAAGTATTGTTTACCTTTTTAAAAGACCAGTATAAAAAAATTATTCTAAGCCCACAGGATCCCTAACGAACCTGATTGCTTTTCTCTTGTCTTAGAACAATTGATCTTGGAGGATTTCACGATTTTAGAGGTGCTTGGATCTGTCTTTAGTTTTCCTTTGGGAAAAGAGTCTCTCCTATATTCAATAGTGCTTTCTTTCTCTTTTGTACTTTTTTGTGTGAGTTCTTTGCTTTCCTTCTTAGGACTTATTTCTGAATCCATGTTCTTAAATTTACACAAGGTTTTCATTTCCTGAATTCTTTTAGAATTATCTAAATCATTTTTATTTCCAGGATCCTTTTGATTAGTTTTCTTGGTTTCCTTCTGTTTTTCTTCAATCACATTTTTTGAATCTATTTCTTTTTTTGTCTGATGATTTTTCTTCTTTATTTTCTGTTGATTCAATGCTTTGCTGTCTTCATCAGAGAGATCAGAATCAGAATCTGAAAGGTCATAGAAACGTTTCAAGTCTTCAGTAGTGCTGTGGTTGATAGGGCGTCCTCTTTTATCAACAGCATAGTTCAATTTGAACTTTTTGTCATGAAACATGGCTCGAAATCTCTTGTCAATTTTGACTTTTCGATCTTTTTCTGGCATTTCCCAGAACCTGGGGTCCTTTGAAACACGCCTAAATCTCTGGTCACTCATTATTTCTTGTTTGGATGACATTTTAAAAGTCTTACTGAAGAACTGTTCAAAGAAACCTAATACTGAAAAATAAAACAAATGTTACAGTAATGAAAGATTAATGTAATCAAATTTTTAAAAAAACTATTGATTCACAACATACTCTAGTTTTAAGGCAACCCAAGCAAAGTCTTAAGGTTTCATGGAGTGCAACAAATGTTTAGTAGCCCACTGCAGTTAGAATGTCTGTATCTCTAGATGTGTATCTGTAAGGGTTATAAGTTAAAAACGAATGTAATTAGGAAATTCCCAAACCTCAGTCGATCTCACTTGTTTCTCTATCTTCTAGCCTCATTCTGTTAATCTTAACCTCCTACTACTCCCAACAGTCTTTATTTCTACATAGCACCCTAACTAAACAGGCCAAAATTAAAGCAGGCTTAACTTACAAAGTTTCTTCTCTAAATGCTACCTTCCCGCAAAAACCAGGTAGTCTCACTTCACTTAATAAATATCACTTCTTTTCTATAATTCCTTATTCTAAAAAAGGCACAAACAAGTAGATCCTTCATAAACATATTTAAATATCTATATAAATTAATACACTTTTCCTCATAGTCTCTGATGGGTTAGCTTCTCTGGATATGAACTGTGCGAAAAGTCAAACTTCATAACTGTTAAAAGCAAAAAGACTGATCAAGGAAGACAACGCTGCTTTACTTAAAAACAGGACTGACACTCTACCTGTTGTTTTCCTTATACCTGGGGGAAAAATTACACACTAACCAAAAAAAAAAAAAAAAAAAAAAAAAAATCAAATGTTTCACTGGTGCATTTACACATTTTAGAGTGGTACAGCACTTAACTCTCTAAACAGCTTTAGAACGTTGGTGGCACTCATCCAGCTACCGTAGTACAGGTAATACATGTAAATATTTAAAACGAAAGCTCTAAACATCCAGTTTAGAGAACAGAAGGCGGCCCCACCACACCACTGAACTATGTCGCTATCCCGACAATGCACCCCACCGCCTAACGCGGAGAACCTTATACTCTCCCCAGAACGCAGATCTCCTTCCTACCTCCCACTTCTCATGGGGAAGCTACTGGGCTGTGGCAATCTGAGAAGCAACCCTGAAAAGAACTGAAGAAACCTGAACAAAGACTCCAGAAAGGGAAACAAGGGGTGTGGCCCTCATAAACCCAAAGTAAGTCGTGTCATAGAATGTTTGTGTCCCTCTGCAGCCCCGACTACCAGCTCTCACGCTGTTTTTCACTCACCAGTTCGGATCACTCTCAGCTTCACATGGAACCCACACCCACAATCCTCTGCGGGACCTTCTGCCGCAATGGTAGGCTAACTGGGCCAAACTACTTCCACTTTACCCCCTTTTGCGAACCTCTTTGTCGCTTTGCATTTGTCGTAGCCGCGCCGCGCAGGCGCACTACGAAGTGCGCCAATAAATCGTTGACCGGTGGAGATGCTGCGGCCGGGGCTGCTGTGCCGTCGGTGGCTAAGGCGCTGGGACGCAAGGGTCCCGGCAGAGAACCTTAGTTGCCGAGAGGTCGCTTCTGGCATCCCCCCTTTAGGCAGCACTTCTCCTGGAGCTCTAAATATCTTCGACCGGGCTTTGAAGAGAAAACAGAAAAACTGGGCGGCTCAGCAGCCGGAGCCGATGAGATTTGACTACCTGAAGGAGGAGGTGAGACCGCGGGACAGCGGAGGAGAGTGGCGCTGACCTTTGAGTCCGCGAGCTCCGGTTAGGCCCAGGGAGTCGCCTTCTCATCGTGTGACCTTGAGCTGCAGCCTTGCGACTCCGGGGCTAGTGTTAGGGAGAAAGGCTGTTCGGGTATTTGTAGTGTGCTGTTCATTCATTCACTTACGCATCAAGGATTGATTGGGTTCTAACTGGCCGGGGAAAAGTTAGGCCGTCGTACTTACAGGCTTTCGTTGTAGAGGGGAAAAGGCAGACAGGCACACACAAGAAAGGTAGTTTCAGCTACAGAAGTGACGGTTGGGAGATGAAGTGTGTGACTGCCCATGGTCAGGGTCGGCCGCTCAGACTTGAGGAATTAGGCAGGCTGGGGGAGTGTCTATGGGGCAAAAGGAAAGACAAATGCAAAGCTCCCGAGCAGAAACGACTTTGTGATGGCCTTCAGTGAAGCTGCAGTGAGGAAGAGGATGGGAAAGGAGGCTAGGAGGACCCAGGTTATTAGGGCCTTACAGGGTAAAGACTAGAATTTCTTCTGTGCTCCAGTCAGTATGGAAACTGGTGGCCACACGTGGCTGTTGAGCCTTTGAAATGTGACTAGTCCCATTGAAACGTGTTATAAGTATGAAATACTCAACGGATTTCAGCGACTTAAAGGATGCAAAATATCTCATTAAGGATGGTTGTATTGATTACATGAAACTTTGATACTGGATTAAAGTATATTAATATTAAATTTTCTTGTTGCTTTTTAAAACATAGCTCCTAGAAAATTTAAAATTTTTTGTGGCATTCATTATTTGGGACAACACTGCCATACAGGAGTGTAAGACTCTTGGATGGTTATAAGCACGGAGTAGATGTGATCTTACTTATGTTTTACAAAAGTTAAATTAAGACCTGATTTATCTGTGGTAGGTTAAAAGACCTTTTCCTGTCTGCCTTGGTAGACTAGGAATTGAGTTTCTTCTCTGAGGATGCAGCGCTGAGCTCAGGTCTCAGTATATATTTCATTCAGGGGTGGAAGCAAGTTGGAGTTGAGTAAAATGCGTTCTTTCAGGCTAAAACAACAGCCATTTACTCAGCTGCTATTTTGAACAGAGCTCTGTGCAAAGCACAGGTAATTGACAGTGTCAGTTTTCAGAAAGCTTTAGATGAGACAGCTGCTCAGAGGTTGATGAAGTCTGTTACAGAGATAGAAAGTCAGCTGTCAGGAAATTTTCTGTTCTCCATCCATAAGCACAGAGTATATGATCATACCAGTTGCTAGTTTCCCCCTGAAGAGCAGAAAATGGGAATTCCTTAGAATGGCATATGTGTGAAGGACGTGTGTTCGTCGTAGTCCCATTTCATCTTCAAGAGGAGCACCTGGATTACTGCTTCACTGGAGACACACCAATGTGCAGAGCTAGAATAAATGAGATGAAGTGTATGACATTTCTTTTTATAATAAACAAAAGGTATTGGTATTAGGAGGTACTAAGTGGCAGCTTTCTTCCAAAACACAAATACACCTATGTTCTGAACTTTCATGTATTAATAGAAACTCAGAAGTTTATGAGGGAATGAGTAGAATATGGGGTCAGAAGATACTTAGCCTTCTGACCATTTTTACTTTGGGATGGGATGGGGGCTATATTTCAGATTTTTTTTTCTAATTTGTACATGTCACTCAAAAAGGTTGGTAGCTATTTAAAAGTAATATAAAATTTGTAAGTTTTTGAGTGACAACTTGTATATTGATCTCTAATAAAGCTTAAGTGAGTTTTTCACTTTCGTATACCTCATGTTCATCTGTGGGGATAGTAATGTGCTTATTTTGTTGCTGTTACTTTTCTCTCCCTTGTGAGGAATGTTAAAGCCAAATATCTTAAAATATTTTTAAGAATGTTAATCTTGATTTCATGAAACTAACTGCAAAATGTTTCCTGGTATATTTTGTTATATTCCTATTTGAGAGTTGAAAAGAAATTTACTGTTTTGAAATAGAAAGAGGGATAAAGGAAAATATTTATCATGTTGAAGCATAAGTAATCTGTGGGAATGTTCCTTCTCTGTTAACCCCACTCAACACATTTGTATCATTGCCTCTTTGCCTCTTGTAATCTTTCAGGTTGGAAGTCAGATCGCAGACCGTGTGTATGACATAGCAAGGTAAGTGATGGTTAGCATAATAAAGTACAAAAAAAAAATTGTTTTTAAGACAAGGTCTTGTTGTATTACCTAAGCTAGCTTCAAACTCCTGGGCTCAAGTAATTGTCTTTCCTGAGCCATCTGAGTAGCTGGGATTACAGGTGAACTCCCCCATGCCTGGTTACTACAATCAACTTTTGAAGGCAGCCTTGAGTTTTACATATTGACAGAGCTTGATATCTGGAATGGCAGAACCTGATGATACATATTAACAGGATTGGCCATTTGAGTCACACTATGTGTGTCTGGAGAGCAAGTATTTTCTCATTGTTGCCTTTAAAGGAAAAAAGGAAAAAATATGGAAGCTTGACTTGTGCTCTTTTTCAAATCTGAATGACTGATCCACTTGCTTTGGCCAAAAGCCTATAAAGAAAGATTGCTCCAAAAACGGATTAAAAAGTTGACTTTATGTAAATTTTTATGATTTACTAAACTTAGGTACCTTAGTCACTTTCTTCATTGCTGGAACAAAATACCTGACACCTGCATTCTTAAGGAGGAGAAGTTTAGTTTGACGTATATTTTAGAAGTTTCAGTTCTTACATTGTTTTCTGGTGTGAGGGAAGCTGCTCAACTCTGGGCAGCCGGGAAGGAGAGGACCCAGGGAGGCAGATGCCCTTCCAGGTCATACCCTAGTAACCTGTCTCTTCAGATCAACCCCCAGCGTCCAACACCATCCCAGCTGTGTAGCACCCATAATCCAGTCACCTTCCACAAGCCTTGCTCTGAACACATGAGGCTGTTGGGGACCATCCACATTTAAATGATAATACTAGGTTTAAAAGTTCAACTAGGGGGGCTGGGGATTTAGCTCAGCGGCAAAAGCGCCTGCCTGGCAAGCGCAAGGTCGTGAGTTCGGTTCCCGGTACCGGAGAAAAACCAAAAAAAAAAAAAAAAAAAGTTCAACTAGGGCCGAGAGTATAGCTCAGTGGCACAAGCTCCTGCCTGGCAAGCACAAGGTCCTGAGTTTGATTTCCGGTACCAAAAAAAAAAAATAATAATAACATAAAAGGTCAACTGAAATTAACAAAAGTAATGCAGAGAGCTCCCTAAATTTGTTTCCTAATCAGGATAGGTGAGTCTTTGGCCTTTTTGTGTTAAGAACTGTTCATATTAGGGGTTTATGGCATTTTTACAGATAGGATGATATAGGGAAAGAACAGTTTCATCAAGCATTATTACAATATTGATGGAGTTGTTGCTCTATATATTAAGCATAGTGAAAGCTTTATACATTGAAGTTTATGGTCATGTAGTGGCAGCTATGGTCAAACAATGGATTTATAGTAGAATTATTCAGTGATATTAGCAAATCACTTTTTTTGTGTTCTTTTGTTCAAAAGACATCCATTGAATTAAACCAAGATGGGATTAATTTTTTACATTTGTACATAAAAAAGGGAAATTTTATGAAAGTACATGTTCCTTTAACCATATCTTAGATATATCTTTGCAACTTAAAAGAGTCTTGGAATAAATTAGTTTTATAACGTAAAAATAAGGCTCATTCTTGCAAATACCCCCTGCCTCCATTTTATTTCACTTGTTTCATTACTTTTTTTTTTTTTAAAGATAGATTTTTGCTGTGTAGTTTTGGCTGGCCTTGACCTCAGCCTTTTGCCCAGGCTGGCCTGGAACTCATGGGGATCCACCTGCCTCTGCCTTCCACATGCTGAGATTTTAGACACATACCATCAGACAAAGCTAGCCTCATTACTTTAAGGTATACACACACACACACACACACACACAAAGCAACTAGTCATTTGTCTGGATTATAGGTTATTTGTGATTCAGTAAAGAAAATACTAAATTTTGCAAGTCTCTTTGGATTTTACAAACTTTATGTCATAGCACTGAGCAAAACAGTTAAATCTGTGGAGAGATCTGTGATTATGACTAAAAACATTTTAAAAATTAAATACTTGCAGTTAAATTATTATTAACACTGTGTATATCCTTTCTTTTTTTTTATTTTTTTTTTTTTAATTTTTTTTTTTTTTGTTGGTTTTTCTCCGGTACCGGGAACCGAACTCACGACCTTGCGCTTGCCAGGCAAGCGCTTTTGCCGCTGAGCTAAATCCCCAGCCCCACTGTGTATATCCTTTCATTAATATTCTAGTATTAGAGTAGGTTTATATTAAAATTGATTTTTTGTTGACTTTAAAACAACTACACATTTTTAAATGCCTAGTTTGGGTCTGAGACTCATTTAATACTACTATAATCAGTAATAATAATTAACAACTAGGTTTGTTGTTTTGTTTTTTTTTTCTGGTCCCAGGAATTGAACTCATGACCTCACGCTTGCCAGGCGGGTTCTGTGCCGCTGAGCTAAATCCCCAGTCCCCAACAACTAGTTTTGTTGAACATTTGTTTTGTGCTAAGTACTTTATATGTACTTCTTATACAAATTTCAGGGAGGCAGTATCTTTTTCGTTTTGAAAAGATAAGGCACCTAAGATCCAGCCAGGTTAATCACGTCACAAAATTTGAACTTAACGTCTTTCTAATTCCAAAATTTGTATATTTAACCTTGCAGTATGGGCTGTATTCATTGTCAAGTTATAGGGTATTAGCTGCAAAATAGCTGTTTTTCACCAGGGGCTCTCTGACTATGTACTGGTGATCTGTAATTTTGACATCCATTTTTAAGAAAATTGAACTCTTTGTTCTAGTTGTTAAGGAAAAAAATATTACTAATAGATAAAGATTTAACTTTTTGTCATAAATTATAAACCTATGGCTATGATTAGACATCTATACTGATTTAGTATGGTGTGGTATATTTAGAGGAGATAACTTAGTGTGGAGGATAATAGTTCTGGTTCAGGATTGAAGCCAACTGAATCCATGAATAGATTGCTGCTTATTACTTCAGGTGTTTGGCTTGACTTTCTTAGCCTGGGATATCTAGAACTTCTAGTACAGTACTTAGAACTTGATATGCATATCAGTAAATGTTTCCTATTATTTAATTTTTTTTAAAGTTTAACTTAATGTTAACATTTCATGATATTTCACATGAAGATTTTTAAGTGTTCGGCCTCACCAATTTGAGAAAGAGGTAAGTGCTAAATCCCTGAAAAAAAAAATCCCTGATAAGTATGCCAGTTCATTTCATGTTAGTTTACATTTGGTCTCTTTTCATTCTTTGCCTGAATATATTGTTAAATTAAAATATTCTTTTTAAATCTGTTCTTTGAATCTGCATCATGAAGCCACCTTGTAGAAAGTGATTCTTTATGTGATTCTGTGAATGAATAACTGGATCAGACAGACTTGTATGCTCAGGAAGGTACAGCAGAAAGCAGGTGATATTTGTGTTTGTGTTTGAAAGTTGCATTCACTAAAATGGTTTAATGTGGCAGAAAAGGTAGGTGATATTTGTGTTTGTGTTTAAAAATTGCATTCACTAAAATGTTCTTATTCAAGGAAAATTATTTTTGGATTGTTTTACAGAGCATAACTTCTGTGTCTGTTTTTTAGAGATTTCCCCCTTGCTTTGGATGTCGGTTGTGGAAGAGGTTATATAGCACAACATTTGAATAAGGTATATTTATTCAGTGAGTTAATTTACTTTGAGAAATATAAGTGACTGATTTTAAAGATGACTTTTCTAATCATTTCAATTGAATCCTATTTAGAGTTTGATTATTATCAGAATTGCTAATTCATTTTGTCAAGGTTTCTGCTGATAGTATTTTATTTAAATCTATATATACTTTTCCTTTGTTCTCACTTTGTTCATTTTTGATAATTCGCAATAAAAATTAGGACCTGGATTGTAGCTTAGTGGTAGAACTCTTGCCTAATATGTTTGAGGCCTTGGGTTCAATCACCAGCACTGAAAAAAAAAAAAAAAAAATTAAAAGTAAAAATAAATAAAGTTGACATATGGAAAATATGATTAAAAAACTCTTTTTTTTAAAAATCTAGAAAAACATTAATTTCATCATCTTAAGTAGGTTTTTTTTTTTTTTTCTTGTACCAGGAATTGAACTCAGGACCTTGCACCTGCCAGGCAGGCACTTGTGCTGCTGAGCTATATCCCGGCCCTAGTTTAAGTCTTTATGGCTAAATACAATACTCTTTATTATTGTGCATGACACTTTATTTTGCACTTTGTAATTCAGATCATAAATATACTCATTTAGTCTTTTAGATTGTGTGTATAGGACACGGCTGGATCCAGTGATTAAGGTGGGATTTCTATATAAAATCTATTTAGATAAAAATGTAGCTTTTGTCTTGAGTCAGGTTAGGGAGAGCAAGGGGTTTGTGGGGCTTCTACAACATTATTATTGATAATAGTGAATACCATAGAAATGGACAGATATTAAAGTGCGAAAGGAATCAGAGGAGGAAAAAAATCAGTAGAGGTTCATATGGTCTAGGCACAGAATCTTCTCAAAGGCACAGACCCTGACCTGGAATGTTAAGAATCTGGATTGGTCATGTTTCATTGAAAGTGTGGCGGGAAAGGTAAGAATGCTGTGGGATGTGATATACTGACGTTTAACGAAGATTCATTTGGAAGTGGCACACAAGAAGGATTAAAGAAAGAATAGAGAAACCAGCCAATTAGGAGGCTGTGCTAAAGGTGGTGCAGGCGTGGGTGATTAAAGTCTACCACTCATTTGAAGGCAGCAGATCCAAAAGACGTAATATAGGAGAGAGACCTAGTAAAACTCACAAAACCTGATGACTGTTTGGATCAGCAAATTTTACTTGTATTTCAGAATACATCTCTAGCTCTACCTTTCCTACTACCAGATTGGTCCTAGCTATGACCACCTTTTTTCTAGATTATTACAGTAGTTTCCTTCTTGATCTCCCTGCTTCTGCCTTTGCCCCTGAGAGTATTTTCACAGCACTACAATTCTTTTAAATCATAAGTCAGATTGTTCTTAGTCCTCTGTTCAAAACAGTTGTTCTAGCCTGTAAGACGACTCTTCATCATGGCCCTGACCTTACCTTCTTCCTGTCACTCTATTTTTTAGCAGCTCTGGCTTCCTTACTTTTACACAGGCCACCCCTTCTAGTACTTTCCCCAAGATATCTTTATGGCTTACCTACCTCTGTCAGATCTTTGCTGAAATGACCTCTTATGAGCGATCTTGTCACTGATTGGTTTCTAAAATAGTGCCCTGTGGTGGATTAACTAATGGTCCACTTGTAACTCACAGCTGAACTGAATCAGCATGGTTCTGGGTGTGGAAGGCCATTTGAGGATTGTTGCCAACAGCATTAAAAGAAAACTGGAGGGGAAGATGGTGAGCTGTTGATTCTCCCGAAGAAGCTTGGCATGCTGGTTTTCCTGATATGAACTTCACTGTTCTCATCACTGGAGGAGCTCAGGTCCTGCCTGTCACTGAGGATGTCTGCAGTTCTTTTTGGAAGAACCTCTAGTATGGTTCCTTACTTTAAGCATTTCTTCCTGGCTCCAGTGCAGGTCCCTCAGCCTTCTTGCATGGATCCTTTTTCCTGCCTGTGCAGATATTCTAGCTTCCACCACTGACCTTTGGGCCTTCCCAGTGCAGATCCCTGATACAGACTTGCATGAGACATTGTCATGGGCTGTACGCCTCCAGCTAGACTCTAGGAGAACATTGCCATGGAGTGTAGGTCTTCATCTGGACTTGTTTTTTTTTGTTTTTGTTTTTTTTTCTCCGGTACCAAGAAGAACTCACGACCTTGTGCTTGCCAGGCAGGCGCTGTATCTGGGCTAAATCCCCAGCCCTCTTCATCTGGACTTGTGCAGGACATTGCCTTGGGATTCAGGCCCTCAACTGGATTCTTTGGGTCTCTATTGTGTGGACAGATTGCTTGCACTCTTCTGCATTTTCTTTTTGGGTGAATGTTATAAAATAATCCTGTAAGTTATGTGTCCTGTATTAAATCTGTTACCTTGCAAACCCTAACTGCAGTGTGCCCCCACTCTTTACTAGTTGCCATAGCATTGATTAGTCCCAGTATATTTTTGTTTGATGTCTGCCTTCTCTTACTGGACTTGCTCATTTTTATTCATTATTAAATTCCTAAGAACACAAAATTAAGATTTATTAAATGATTAATATGTGAGTAAATGCAAGATAACTTTAAAGTTACGACTTCAGTGACTGGGAAAAGTTGGGATGCAGTAGGACAAGGAACAAGGGATGTTTTCTCTTTTATTTATTTATTTTATTTATTTATTTTTTTTGGTTTTTCTCTGGTACCGGGAATTGAACTCACAACCTTGCACTTGCCAGGCAGGTGCTGTGCCACTGAGCTAAATCCCCAGCCCCTGTTTTCTCTTTTAGATGGTTGAGTTTAAAGTCAGGAATATATTAGTATTAATATCGGCAAGATAGATGGAAATGGGGAATGGGAATTGGAGTGTTGAGGTTAAGAGCATTGACTTGAAGTTTTACAGATCAGGGTTCAAACTTTCAGTCTTGTCATTTGCTTCTGTGTACTCTTGGACCAGTTATCCCACCCTTCCATACCTCAATTTCTGTAAAATGTGAGCAGGAATACCTACTTCAAAAGAATGGCAAAAGGATTGAGACAAGGTAAATCTGGCAAAGTACAAATTATAATTCTTATTTGGAAATCATTGTCAGAGATGACAACCAAAGCCATATGAATTGGTAAGCTGTCTAAAGCAGTAATACAGAAAAGACATTTTCTGTATTATTAAAACATAGTTACATTTAGGGGTGAGAGAATAAGGAGGCTGCCAGGTATAGTAAGACAGGTATTATCTTAGGAAGGTTTTAGCCTTCTCTTTTTTCTTTGTGGTGTTGAGGGGGTCAAACTCAAGACTAGGCAAGTGCTCTCTGAAGTGCCCTCCTCAGTGGTTATAAAAAGCAGAAATCCTTTAAAGCCAAACACAGGTACATTTGTTGCATAGAGGTTCTTATGTAACTGAGGGGTCTGGAAGTACAGCAGGTCTCACAAGGGATGGGACTTAGAAAACTCATTGTGAAGATTCTCTTGGCTCACGTGTTTTCTGTGATTACAGGGATGTTATATAGCTGCCTTCATTTTTTTTCTTTCTAGTGACTATTGCTAGTCTTCACTGGTATGTGTGGCTCTAATACAAATATTACACTCAGTGGAGTGCTAATGCTAGCTCAGATCAGCTCATGAGAACTCAGTGTTAATCTCTTCCCCTGTTCTGTAGTCAGTGACGTTGTGTGGATACAGTAAAATCAGCCATGATGGGAGTATTTACACCATGGAAAACGGTACAAAGAAATTCCCTGCCAGGAATCAGTTATTAAATATAAAATAGTACACCACTGTCTCAACTCTGAAGTCTACATGTTCTAACTCAGGGACCACTGTCCCCCTCTTTGAATCTCTTCATTTAGATTTTCAAGTGGGAGACAGATACTCTTTTTGACCTAATTCTTTACCCCTCAGGGTGTGTGCTGCCGCCGGCTGGTGAAAGCCAACTGTGCCTGTCTCTGCCCAGCTCTGCACCTAGCAGCATCATGTTGGTAGCCTGCTACCTACCATTATTGAGTAGCACACCATGGAAGTCACCAAATAGTCCGCCCTTTTTTAGGAGCTTGTCCTTAAACATTTATCCGCAGTTGACCTCAGGTAGTCAGTGGTGATTGTATCCAGTGGTAGGACTCAGTGGTATGGTATACCCTTGCTAAGTTGTGAGCAGCGAGGAGCAGATACGAATGAATTAAGAGAGATCAGCTTTTCTAATAGAGAAGAGCAAGAATAGAAGGCACTGAAGAAGTTTCTAGTAGAGGTTAAAAAGTGCTGTGCTTCAAACTGTTGCGCTGTGCCTGCCTTTAATCCCAACTACTTAGAAGGCTGGGGCAGAAGGATGGGCAACTTAGTGAGACCGTGTCTCCAGATTTAAAAAGGTCCAAGAATTTAACTTACTGGTAGAGTGTACCTGGTATACGTAGTATGCACAAGGGCCTGGGCTCCATCCCCCAGTACCACGAACAAAACAAAGTAAAATAAAACAAAAACATCTCTGTGCTTTAAGGAGGTTGAGTGAGACAGCACTGAAAGCAGTGAGAACAGACTGCTATGTTCCCACTTAGACAGTTAGCGACCTCTAGAAATAGCTTTGGGAGGGAAGAAAGATTATGAAGAGTTTCAACAAGGACCTCAGTGTGTAGGTTCTTGGATTATAAACCAGACAACTGGAATGTGCTTCAAGATGAGATATTTTGGGAGGTTTGGGAGGTTTATGCATGTTGTAAGTAGAGAGAAAGAGACCAGAAGTGTTTGAAGATTGTCAGAGGTGGAGATAGGGGGAGCAGGATCCTGAAAGAGCCAAGTGGAAAGTGGTAATTTGGGACAGAAATAAACAGTACCCTTTCTTCTTGAGAGGGAGAGAGGATAGATAAAACAAGGGAAATAAAACCCATAAACCCCATCCCTACATCTCTGTGTGCTAAGTCTTTACACTTTGTAAACACTTTGAATGAATAATTGAAAGCAGGAAACCCATACAAGAAGGGCCTTTGGGGCACAAGAGTGTAAAAACTAGCTCTCAGCTCATTAAATCAAGGAAAAGTTACCGTAGAAGCCCTCACTCAGTGCAGTAAAGGGTGATAGTGTTCACATTTGTATTTTGTTTTATTAACTGAAGTTAAATACTTTAAATATAGTTAGCTGCATATGTTTAAACCTGTGTAATTTATTCTGTATTATGTACTATACTAGTGTAATAGAGGAAAAGACTTACAGAGCTGAAAACCAATCTATAGGTAGCCCTTTCTCCTTTAGAAATTTTAACAATTATTTGTTTTAGTTTATTAATATTGCATTTATATATTTGCTTGTTTTGTGGCATCTGATCAGCTTTAATAATTCCTTTTCAGGAAACCATTGGAAAGTTTTTCCAAACAGACATTGCAGAACATGCTTTGGTAGGTGACTTTTTAACATTGTTGGTTTCTGATCTCCTGGTTTTTTAGTTATTTCCTTCACAATGAAAATAGCTCTCTTTTTTCCCTCTGACTATGCATGTAACACACATGAAGAAAAATTATATAGTGCAGGAAATGTAAAGGAGAAAGGAAAAACTACCCCAGCCCTGCCACCCAGAGACAGCCACTGTTGAAGCTTGGTGTTTACCTTCGCAGATATACAACTATCCTCTCTCCCAGTGTTCTATGAACAATATTAGGCTAGCATCCTATTTTTTTACAGGATGTCATTCCTGTTAGTGAATATTGTGTATATATCTTTTTAAGTGATTACATAGTTCTCCACTATATTGAATGTTACTAGTTTAGCTAGATAGCTAAAACTGTCTTATGGCTACTGATTTTGTTAGTTTTAAAAATAGTTTTGTGACATAATGTGTACCTTCTCTGTTGACTTTAGCTTTCACCCACTCTTATGCTAGGTTGTTTTAAGAGCTTGTTTTTTAGGGATATCCTTCATCATGTGTACTGTAAACGTATTGCCCAGTTTATGTGTTACATTTTTTATTGCTTTTATAGTTTCTAGCTTTTAAGTGATGTTAATGCAGAGTTGTTTTTTTTTTTTTTAAATCTGAAAGTATAAAAGTGTTCATCCATATTATTATCTAGTATTTTATGGCTTTAGGTATTCCACCAAAACATTCAGCTTTCTGAGATTTGTTTTGGTGTAAGGTGGATGCACAGTTAACCAGTTTTTCTGGTTGAGCTTAAGTGCCATTTAAGAAAGTTCTTTTGAGTACCTTCTGTATACTACATTTTGTTATTGTTTGGATGGGAACTGCCAAATGAACATAAATTAGGCAGTAACACTGATTTAAAGTTAATAATGGAGACTATATAAATATGCTTCTTATTCCTTTTTTTTTTTAATCATTAGAAAAATTCCCTAGAAACAGAAATTCCTACTGTCAGTGTTTTAGCTGATGAAGAATTCCTTCCCTTTCAAGAAAATACATTTGACCTGGTGGTTAGCAGCTTAAGGTTGGTAATCTACTTGTACTTTAAAAAATACATGTGTTATAAATAGGTAATTTATGCTGTAAAGTTTTACAAGGTTAAAAGAATAGATAACTATAAATTCTTAATAATTTTTTTTAAAAGTCATACAACAAGTTATTTTGTAAACTGGGTTTCTCTGGGAAAGAATTACTGATCCAGGACTTTCTCAGGAGATAATATATTTATCCCCAACTTTCTACAGTTCACCTGCATTAGAAGGGGTTTTCTCCCCAATATAACTCAGTATTTTGGAATTGATACTGATAGAGGCAGGAGTTTGAGAGGATACTGGCTCCAGTATTCAAGTGTTAGATCAGTATTTTTTTCAAACTCAGGACCTTATGCTTGCCAGGCAGGTGCTGTGCTGCTGAGATCACTGCTGGCCCTGTTAGATCACTGTAAAGTCATTTGGCAAATAGGGGAACAGCTAGTGATTCTTTCAACTTTAATTCTTCTACATGGAAATATAGTCCTCAAATTACTTCTATCCCTTCATATTTTCTACCACATCCCTTTACATTTATTACATGAGCATGTGCCATAAATATTTATTTAGTAGATAATAATATGTGAGGCACTGAGCTAGATGCTTTGAGATAATACAAACATGAATTCAGAGAAGGATTCTATCCTTAAAGAACTACATCTAATGGAGAAAATATTCTCTGTGGCATCTTATTTTTGCTCTTTCTTATAGATGACTTTCTTTTAAAGGTTTACTGTGCTCCTCATATCCAGTTCATCCTTTTTGTTAACTGTGTTTAAGGTGAACAATATCATAGTGTGTCCAGGACTTTGCCAGTTTTAGCACTGAAAATCATCTGTTTATCAGAAAACCTCTTAGTCCCAGGCAAACTGGGAGAGTTGGTCACCGTTGGTGTTTTCTTTAGTGAACTTGTGATTTCTTCCGTGCCTCACTATAAATGCTGAACAAATTTTAAAAAGTATTCATGTTCCATTGTGAAATGGAACACAGCCAGAGTCTTGCTCTAAAGGAAAGAGCCCTGGGAGAGAGTCAGAACATAGGTTTCAACTGTAGCTCATCTGCTTGCTGTTTGCAAATAACTAAGTCTGTTGCTTTCAGTTTCTTCATATGATGATCTCTTTAGTTTCTAAATTGTTCAATAAAATTGTTGGAAAGCATTATGAAGGATCAATGTGAACTTAACACAGTATGGTTTAAAATGAATATTTAATTTTGTCCCTGAAACCAGCATAAAAGGATGCCAACTCGGTCAGGAGAATGACTGCACAGAGGGTATGGTTCTTGCCTTCATATGTGACCATATTCTGGGAGAAAGTAAATAGGGTTAAAGGAAACTGGAGTAGGGTTTAAAGGAAATTCAGTAAGTATAGAGGAATCTGACTTTAGTTTTTCTCATCATCTTTAAAAATACTGGCTAGATGGGTCAGTTAGCTCAGTTGGTTAGAGCATGGTGCTGATAAAATTGTGGGATATTCTATCCACCTATCAGAATGATCAAAATCCAGAGCAGTGATAACAAATGCTGTCAAGGATGTGGAACAATAAGAACTCTCATTTATTGCTGTTGGAAATGCAAAATGGTATAGGCACTTTGGAAGACAACCCTGATTTCCTACAAATGTAAAAATACTTCTACCATATGACCCAAAAATTATGCTCTAGGGTTTACTCAAAGAGATGACAACTGATTTCTCCACAGAAACTTGCATACAAATGATTATAGCTGTTCTATTCATAATTATCAAAACTTGGAAGGAACTATGATGTCCTTCAGTAGATGAGTGGCTAAAGTGTGGCATAGCCAGACTCTGAATATTTGTGCATTAAAAAAGAAGCTGCTGGATCTTGAAAGATTTAGGGAATTTAAGTACAAATTACTAAGTGAAAGAAGCTAATCTGAAAAGGTACATACTTATAATTCCAACTGTAAATGACATTCTGGAAAAGGCAAAACTTTTAAAACATTAAAAATGATCAGTGGTTGCCAGAGGTTATTGGAGAGGGAGGAATAAATAGGCAGAGCCAAGATTTTTAGGGTAGTGAAAGTATTCTGTATGATACTCTAATGGTGATATGTGTCATGTTTGTCCAAACCTATAGAATGTCTAACACCAAGAATGAACACCAATATAAACTACAGATGCTGGATGGTAATGGTGTGTGATGTTATGAGTGTAGGTTCATCAGATGTGACAAATGAGTTAGTCTGGTGAGGAATGTTGATAATGGAGGCTTTGTATATGTAACGATGGGGATATGAAAAAATCTCTGTACTTATCTCTCAATTTTGCTGTTAACCCAAAACTGCTCTGTGTGTATGTGTGTGTGTGTGTAAATCTTAAAAATGAAAAAGCAGAATATTACTACAAAATTCACTAAGCTTTTTGTTTGTTTGGTTTTGGTTTTTTGGAGGCAGGGTCTCACTATGTAGTTCAGGCTGGCCTTTAACTCACTTGTGTAATGTAGGCTGGCCTTGAACTTTCAGCAATGCCCCTACCTTGGCCTCTTCAATGCTAGGATTACAGGCATGTACCACCATGCCCTTAAGTTAAGCTTTTGATGAATGATGCTATTTACCTTTGGAAAATTTTATGTCTGCTGATAATCTTTGTTTTTCCTAGGAAAATAATATTAGCAATAATATGTTTGCTTGGCTTAATTGTTTAATCAGTAAACTTTTGAACATGTCATCAGATACTTATTTTTAGCACAGTCTTTCAGATAAGTTCTCAGGGTACCACTATTTGGATAAAATGCCAAGTAAGAATGATGTTTACTTTAAATAATGAAGAATAATGCTATCAGGTTTTTTACTTAAGCAAAATGTTATACTAACATGGGAGAATTTTGTAGTATGATAGAAGGAATGTTTATTTCAAAATTGTGAAGTCAGTGAATTTTGACATTAGTTTCAGACTTTAATACCTTTTGTGGCTTATTATATGTGATAATTATGTTAATTGAGCTAAAACAAATACTGTTTCTATATTTTAGTTTGCACTGGGTTAATGACCTTCCTCGAGCACTTGAACAGGTGAGAAAACTTATGTTGATTCTATTCTGTATTTATTCATTATTAACAATGTACAGATGTTTCCATTTTCATAAACTATGTATCAGTCTGACAGTTGGAGAACAGAATCAGATCAAGTACTTACCTTTTGTGGGTTGGGTAAACTTGGTACCTTTGGCATGCTAATCTGTACATTGGGTGACTGAGAATTTTAACAAATCTGTTGTGGAGATAAATTTTGCATATTTATGAAAAGCTTAATAACTACACAAAATAATATGGATGTTATAAAGACATTTTCTGTGGGGGATTCTTTCTTTCATTTAATTGCCTATAAACTTTTTGTGGGTAAGAATCTATATTTGTATCTTCTGTATGCCTTATACTTAGAGAGTGCCAGGTAAATATTTGTTTATTGATACTCATCAATGAATCGGAAAGGATAAATAAAAAGCATGTGTTCAAAAGAGAGAAGGAAATCACTCTGACTTGGAGTTGCCTATGAATGCTTTCAGAGGAAAGAATTACAGTACTTGAACCAATTTTTAGAGGGTAGGTGAGATTTGGATTCAGGAGGTACAGTATTCCAGGAAGGCCCAATCACAGCGGGGGTAGGGAGGAACAAGAGCCTCAGCCACAGGAGAGAACAAAAAGAAACCTGTTTGGAGGTTTACTAGCAAGCTGGGAGATGAAGTACATTAGGACCACATAAAGGAAGACTTGGGTGCCCTGCAGGGTTAGGACCTTGGAGTTTATTCTTTGTGCAATTAAGAGCTGCTGGAGAACTTTGAAGAAGAAAGTGATGTAATTAAAAGGCTTGGTGGCAGGATAGCTAGGCCTGTACTATTTCCTGGTTACTGTATTCTATTTTGTGTGTGGTTAAATAACCCTGCAAGATAATCTTCATTTTGTTTCTCAGAAAATTGATGATAGAGAATTTGGTTAAGTTGAAGAAAGATTATTTCGGTGGTCCAAATTTAAGAAAACTCAAATCTAGGTGACAGTGGTAGGAGTAAAAAAAAAGTGGAGAGGTTTCTAGGATTTCTAGAAGAAATAATCAACAGTTTGGTGGCTTCTTAGCTGTAAAGATCAGAGTGGGAGTCAAAACGCACCTTAATGTTTTAAATCCGGAAGCCTGAGGGAATGATTAGTAAAAGTAGGTGGAAAAGAGTAATGATTAGATAGATAGTAGAAAATAAGGATTAATCAAAATAGAGCAAAGGGAAGTTGGTTTAATGATAGATGTTTTGTTTGTGTGGATTCGGGACAGTGAGGGTGGTCAGTTTGCCAAGAGACAAATGTCTGTAAGGTAGCAATAGAAGATGAGTGTGGCATTCTATGAAGATGTCCAGGCTGAAGATAGAGATTGGAAAGTCATGTTTATGAAATTGTAGTTTGCAAGTCCTATGAGGTGGAGAGACTGCACAGACTTGAGGATTAAATCTTAGGTAGTTGGAGTAGTAGAGTTTAATGACAGAAGGAAGTAACACTAAAACAGCATAATGGAAGAAACCAAAGGTTTTATTTATTCTGGTTTGCTTGTATAGTGCTTTGTAATTTCTTGTTAGTATATTAAATATAACTGTAAGACAATGCTTTGATTTAGAAGAGCTTACTGTTATTTGAGTTCTGGTTACCTTTACTATTGTCCTCATTGTTGAAAATAGTCTAAACTAATTACAGATTTTACCAGTAACCTATGGGCCACAGGCCAGTTTTCTTCCTTTTTTTAAAATTTTAATGTTATAATAGCATATATTTTAAAAAACAAGTATTATTATTATACACAATAACTGTGTATTTCATGTATGGACCAAAACAGTTCCTCTTCATTCATGTGGTTTAAGCAAGTCGGAGGTAGACAGACCTGGAAGACCATCACTGAGCAGACATTTGTGATTTTGGAATTCAGTCTGGCCAGTAATTTGCTTTTACATTAGCAATTAAAATTGTTCTTGTTTTAAAGCTGAAAAACTCTTTAAAGAAAATGAGTCTGTTAGGTATTAATGGGTTAATGTTAGGAATCATGATAATTTTTCTGTAGATTAGCTTTTTCTGTATAAAAGGCTAACCCAATTTAGTAGGTTGACACACTTGTTTATTTGGCTCACAATTTTTAGGCTGGCACTTTAAGCTGGACTTAGAAATTCTTTTGGATTTGGCTTGATTTACTCATATGTCTGTAATCAGCTGCCAGAGAGGGAGCTGGCCTCACCTGGGACAGCTGTCTGATCTCATCTTCATGCATCTCTCATCCTCCACCTGGTGAGCTCAGGCCTGTTCACAGCCTGGCACAGGCCTGGTAGCTGGGCAGCGCCCCAGGAGAGCAGGTGGAAGCATGCAAGGCCAGTTGAGGACTGGACTTGACACTGGCATAGTATTAGTTCTGTCACATTCTTTTGGCCAAATTAAGTCAGGGGACCAACCTAGATTTAAAGAGAGGGGACATAGACTTTATTTCTTAATGGGAGTTATAACAAAATGACATTTTAGTAGGTGCAGACACAGGTGTGACTTCTGGAACCTTTCCCAATTAAACTTTTTCTTTCAATATTTTTCTGAATATAAAGTTCTGCCTATTATAAAATTTGAATGCATGGAACATATTCTTATAGATTCTACTATTATTAGGAAGTATATATTTGCCTATAACTACATCATATAGCAGTGGCTTAGATTTCTGGTCATATTAGATGTGATGCATTTACTAAGTTATCTAGTTAATTTGGCAAAATAAGATTAGTAGTCATAAAATATTGATTTAGACACTATTAACATTTATATATATAAAATTTTGAATAGTTTCGTTGTATTTATTACAGATTCATTATGTTTTAAAACCAGATGGAGTATTTGTTGGAGCAATGTTTGGAGGCGACACACTCTATGAACTTCGGTGTTCGTTGCAGTTAGCAGAAACAGAAAGAGAAGGAGGATTTTCTCCACACATTTCTCCTTTTACTGCTGTGAATGACCTAGGACATCTACTTGGGAGAGCTGGCTTTAATACATTGACTGTGGTAACTATGAAAACAATCAAGTAACCCTTTAACTGCACAGTTCACAAATGTCTTTTCATTTTAAAGAAAGTACATGATCCTGCCTTTCTCTTTCCCTAATCTTCTACTCCCAACTCTTTCAAGGAGTAGGCTTCTCAAAGGGAGTCATCTAGAGAGACAGTGATTGCCCTTTTTTACCTCCAAAAGCATAGTCATTCGAAAGGGCTTGTTAGACTCTTGAGAGATCACTAAGTAGACTTTTTACAATTTTCCAAACCCCTTAGGCCTAGAAACATCTCTAAACCTAATTAGAAGAAATTGGAGTTTCTTGATAAAGAAAGCTTCTTTCTTCTTGTTGCATAATTAGAGATGCTAGACTTAAAATAGCTATCTCAGATGATTTAGTGTATGCTTCATAAAATTAACCAACTGAAAAATAGATTGCAATCCTTTCTTGTATTGATAGATAGCAAGGATGTAGACCAACAGAACCCCTCATATTAAAAGAGACCCCCAGGAAAGAAAAGAAACAACTGGCTGGAACACTAGGCTAGAAGTTGAAGACAGCTCTTGAGATTTCTAACCTGTGTCTAGGGTGGACCTTTTAATACACTTTTATTTACTAACTTATTTTTGGATTTTTTTGAGACAGGGTACTTTTGAACACACTTATCCCATAGTTCTTACTACTTTCTGAAGCTGTCCTGGAAGTCCTTTTTTGTGAGTGTCTTTATGAAGTGTGATAAAAAATAGAGTGAATGCTGTTGCCATGTGTCATGCAACAGAAAAGCAGGCTTGTGGAAGCCTTATGGTATGGCCTTATCCACTTTATTCATTGGATCTGGTACCTGGCAACTGCTGGCTCTTCCCTTTCAGAAGGACCATGAAAAGTAAACATGATCATACCATGTTTTTTTTTTTAACTATTTCCTTCTAAACAACATTTATATTTGTTCCAGTTGTTTACCAATATACTATTTCATGTCATTTATTTATTCAGTCTTGTAACAAACAAAGTACTTTCTGTGTGCCAGGCACTGTCCTAAATACTTTGGATATAACAATGAGCAAAATAGGCAGAAATTCCTACCCAATGTTGTTAGATTTATAAACTTTGGAGGAGAGTTCAATAACACTGATGTTGTATGCAGAATTGGTGTTTTCTTCTTCATCTGTACTTTTGAGAACAATTTTCCCCATAGACCAAAATACAAGTGTCATTTAAACCCACATGTACAATGAGGTACATACACTTTTGCTTCTTTAATGTATGTACTTTTTTGCTTTTTTCATTCATACTTTGAAGATCTCCTTCAGACATATATGTGCCTCATATTTTTTCCAGCTATTTCTGTATTTTTTTATTTTAAAGAGAAAAGAACAAAACAAATTAACAAAACAAAGACATAAAACAAAACAAAAACAATAAAGAAACCATAAAATTTCAAAACAAGGTGATAGGAAATCAATAATGGGTTGTTGTATTACATATTGTTATCTTTAGTTATTCAGATAACCAGATATAGCCATGTAAAGTTGATCAAGCAATTAAACATTAACTGTTCCTTTCAATAAACCAATAGAAATTAGTAGTACAATTATCTTAATTATCTTTGTGTGTGCGTGTGTGTATATACACATTTTTTGTTTTTAAACAGCTATGGGTTTTCATTGGATAGATATTCTTTATTTCTTTGGTCTTCTATTAATGACATTGTCAAGGAGCACCTGGATATTTGGGGAGCATCAGTGGTTTCTGCCACTGTTACCAATAGCAAATTCCAGCATCAGGCTGCAGAAAGAGGGGCGAGGCATTGTGTAATAGTTTACTAGGGAAATAAGCTCTGTGTGTGTCAGCAGCGTGCGTGTTTCTTAAATAAGCTGTTGGCTGCAAAGTGGAAGTATCTGGGAGATGACTGACTTTGGCTTGGTTTTGGTGCCACATTTTGAGGAAAATTGATGTTGACTGTAGCCAGGAATATGTACTTAGAACATGTAAGGGTCTATAAATTTTATCTGTAAGTCTAGCTTCTCGCCCCAACCCCCGCCAAAAAAACAAATCAAGACAAAATTATAATGACTTTAGAAGAATTTTCAAAGACTTAGAGAGGAGGTGGTTTGTAGAGTAAAGACTAGATTGATTTTTTGTTGTTCCCAAGGATAGAACTAGAACCAACTGATGGAGTTAGGAAGATTTCTCTCATAATGGAGAGTATTTATTCAGCAATTTGAGATCTTAAATCAAGGATAAACCAGATAATATATGTGAAGAATATAACAGAGGTTTCTTGCTTACGATTAGAGATTGGTCTGGGGAATCTTTATAGTCCCTTCTCAGATCTGGATTTTTTATGAATTTTAAGTTGAATATTCCTTTTTCTTTTCAAATAGGACACTGATGAAATTCAAGTTAACTATCCTGGAATGTTTGAACTGATGGAAGATTTACAAGGTAAGAAATTTTTAAGGAATTTTTAGACTCCATTTGAGACGCATTTCCTGAGTCCACCCTATACAAGAATGGGGCTGAGCAGGAGGGAACCATTGGTAAGGACAAAGTAATCTTCAGGGAACTTTATAATTGTAATGGTTGATACACTGTGTCAACTTGAGTTTAGAAGTTTAACTAAGTGACTCAATAGGGGAGCCAAGGTCTTTACTTTGTAAACATTCTCTTCTTATGCAACAAGACAGCATGGAGATTGTGTGAGTGCTACACCTGCCCTGGGAAGGCGGGTAGACTGATCCCTGCTTACAATATAAGGGAGGAAAAGAAGCTTTTTCTCCCCCACTTTTGCTCTTGCTGCTTTTGCTGTCTTGTGCCACCTTCAACTGTTGCCCCTGTGCCCTGCCACCCTGCCTTGGAGCCAGCTGATGGTGGACTGAAACCTCCACAAACTGAACTGAATAAACCTTTCCTTCCTTAACTTTGGGTATTGGGTATTTTGTCTCAGCTGTGAGTCTCACAGTATTTTTAGAAATGTAATCAGGAGTGTGAAGCAGAAGGCACACAGTGCTGTGGCTGCTTCTAGAAGGATAGCAGTTTTTTTGAAGAGTGTGTTTGAGGATGGTAGAACATACTAGTGACTTGTTCCAGCAGCAGGTGACACCTCAGGGGAAATGTCAAGAAAGCAGGTAGTTGGGTGAATTTAGGACTTAGGTTTTCTCAGGGAGATAAATCCTGGTCTGAGAGACTCAAAGAAGTCGTGTTTAAGGAAGAGCCAATGAAGCTATGATGTATTTTGTTTTGTTTTTGTTTTTTTTTGTCTTTTTGAGACAGGGTCTTGCTATGCAGTTCAGGCTGGCCTTTAGCTCACTTTGTAGCCCAGGCTGGTCTTGAACTTGCAACGATCCTCCTGCCTTAGCCTCCCAAGTGCTGGGATTACAGGCATGCGCCACCACGCCCGGCAGCTATGCTGTAAAGAAATGAAGATGAGTTAACTAGATAGAAATGGTGAAGTGAGGCCCAGGCTTCAGCATATTGCAAAGGCCCTGCTGCAAGAAAGAGCATGGCGAGAACTGAAGAAGGACATTTTGGTTAGAGTATCGGGAGGACCATGTTAAGTGATGAAATTGGTGGGTAGTTGGGAGTCATATCATGCAGCAGGACCTTATAGGTCTTGTTGAAATTGTCCTCAAAATGCCCTTTCAACAGTTTAATAGGGGAAAGGAGAAGAGGTCACAATATCAGATTTATGTTTTAGCATGAGTTGGCAGATAAACTGTGTGTGGTGGGGAGGGGTGTTACTGCAGTAAAGCTTGCCACTAGATGGTGTTGGTTTGGTTTAAAGTAATGGCAACGGAGATGTAGAGAAGTGACTGCCTTCCCAAGACATTTAGGTGGGAAATTGGAGTTCTGGCTAGTGGGTTAGATATGGGTAGATACAGAAGTGTTTCAAATTGCTGAGTTTCTAGCCTTTAATTAGATAAATGCTCCCCATACCAACAGGAAACAGTTGAAGATGATCAAACGTTGATATGCTAGGAGAGCTCTTGTGTTTACATTTGAATTTATCTGCTATGAAGTGCTTTTGAAATAGGGATGAGATGGGTAGTGGATTAACTAATGGTCAACTAGTAACATCCAGCTGAACTAATTCAGCATGGTCTGGGGGTGGAAGGTCCATCTGAAGATTGTTGCCAACAGCATAAAAAGAGAACTGGAGGGGAAGATAATATGCTGTTGATTCTCCTGGAGAAGCTTGTGATGCTGGTTTTCCTGGTATGAACTCAGCTGTTCTCATTGTCAGAGGAGATTGGGTCCTTGCTGTTGTGCAGGATGGCTTTAGTTCTTTTCTGGGGAGCTCTGGTCCTTACCTTGAGTGTTGCTTTCTGGCTCCAGTGCAGATCTGCTGGCACAGGTCCTTCATCCTGCCCATGCAGACTTTCTAGCTTCCACCACTGAACTTCGGGCCTTCCCAGTACAGATCCTTGTTATAGACTTGCATGAGGCATTTTCCTGGGCTCTAGGCCTCCAGCTGGACTCATGGAGGACATTGCTATGGGCTCTAGGTCTTCAGTGGGACTTGGGCAGGACATTGTGGTGTGATCCAGGCCCTCTTTGGGTCTCTAGTGGTGCGTGGCTATAATCCCAGCACTCAGAAGACTCAGGCAGTTTGAGTTCAAGGCCATTCTGGGCTATATAGTGAGTTCACTGCCAGCATAAACTGCATAGTAAAACCCTGTCTCAAAAAACAAAAACAACAGTTGTGTCATTTGAGAATAGGCAGTATTCAAAGCAGTTACCTTGAGCAAGAATGTGAAATGGAAAGAAAAAGGAAGTTGTGCCCTGTTGACCCTGTTGAAGCTTACCTTGTAGCAGCTGGCTAGGAGGAGGATGAGCCTGCAGAGACTGAGAGGGAAATACCCAATAGGGTGTTCAGTAGAAACGCCAGAAAAGTAGAGAACTGTCTGAACCAAGGGAAGGAGGGTTTCCAAATGAAAGGTAGCATTCAGCAGCATCAGTACAAACTGAAACAAAAATCTACTGGATTGAAGAACTAGAAGGTTTATGATAACCGTGATAAGATCTGTGGTTGAGTGAGAAAAGTAGACATATTCAGAGTAGGTTAAGGTGTAAGTGGAAGGTAAGGAACTGGAGATAGCAAATATCTGTTCTTTTAGGAAGTTTGGGTGTGAAGAAGAAGTGATAGATGAAAGGGTTACATGTGCCAGATATGATGGCCCACACCTATAATCCCAGCAATCTGGAGGTTGAGGCGTGAGAATCATTGAGTTCAAGACCAACCTATACCATGTAGTGACACCCTGTCTCAAAAAAACTGACCCCCCCCCCCAAGAAAAAAACAAAAATACAACAAAAACAAAAAAAGAAAAAGGTTACAAGTCTCAGGAGGAGAGGAATAGGGGTGAGTTTTTTTAATTCGGGTTTTTTCTAAGACTTGGATATTTAACTGCAGAGTGAAAGAATCCCAGTGCTTTCAAAGACAAGAAGAGTTGATGATGTGAAGTTCCTGAGTAGGTGAAGGGGATGAGATACAAAGGTCAGTGGATGCATGTTTGATAAAGAAAGGGGCACATGTATAGAGAGAAGGGTGGAAGCCTAGTGCTGATAGACGTAGGTGTTTATGTTTGATCACAGAAAGTTCCCATCTCATGGGTCTATTTTCTTTGTCAAATAGGAATACCATATGTTGAGGATGAGGTATCAGAGGTTTGAGATTTGTGTGGAAACAATTTGAAATAGTCATTATAGAGAATGGCAGGTGAATTGATCAGGGAAAGTTAGAGTTGGAAGGATACATTCGAAGTTGGTCAGACACATCAACAGTAGTTGGCAACTCAGGATTGTAAACAAGCAAGCAGATAGTTGAATTAGTTTTGGTAGTGGAGAATGACAAAAAGACAAAAGTAAAACATGACTGCAAGAGTGTAATTGACCTAATAGTTGAAGAATCTCAACTGGGAGGGGAGTGAGCTGGAAGAAATTGGGAGAAAGGAGCTGTGCCAGGCGACCTAGGAGCATCAGAGAATGGGGCTGGCTGAGGATTTAAATGCTGGAAGAACAGGAAGGGGTGGCTGGAACATGGGACATTGGATTGTTTTGGAAGTAACGTGGTACACATCATAACTAGGTCAGGGACCTGTCCCTAGTGCAGAGGCAGCAGTGGAGTGATAAAGAAGTTCATTAGAGATGAGTAAGTTAGACAGTCTTAGAGGTTGAGGAACTTGAAGGTTATTAACACTGAGGTTACCCAGGGTGGTGACAGGACAGGAGCTGCAGAGGAGCCAGCAGCAGCAGCCCTAGTGAAGCAGGCAAGTGCCTTGCCTGAGGGCTGACGGAGAATGGTACAGACGTCAGCAGGACCAGGGTACTAATAGAGCTGGGGGAGCAGTGGCCTGGAAGAAGCTCTGAGGCACAGTGGGGATCGAGGTCCTCCTATCTCCAGAGGAGACGAGAATAAACACTTGCACTTGAGAGGGCTGCTGCAGTAATTTCCTCAGACCTTCAGCCAGCCTTCTTTGTGAGAGTGTGAGGTCCTTCTATTTACTTATTTTTTCTTTTTCACTAATGACACTTTTGGTCAGTGGGATAAACTAGGAGAATTAAAGATGTGCTCTGTGAAACTGAAATTACACGTACCTAGGGAAGTCTTCATCTGGATCCTGAGACAATAGTATGATGATTTAAAACCAGTTTTAGAGCTGGGTGTGGTGATACAGGCCTGTAACCCTAGCACTCAAGGGGCTGAGGCAGGAGGATCGCTGAGTTTGAAGCCAGCCTGGACTACATAGCAAGACCCTATCTTTAAAAAAAAAAAGTTTTATAAAATAACTACCTGGACTTTATTTACAGATTTATAGAGCACTTGTTTCTTTCAGTATTCCTCTTGATTCCTATATCTGCCTTTCCTCCTATGTTACAAGTGAAAACAATTTTAGGCCCAAAGAGAACACTTGATCCTAACAGAGTCAGGCACAACTCACCACTGACTTTTCATCACAAAATCTGTTTCACCCACTCTCCATTTTCCTTAACTGTGGAGCTTCTGTCTGCTTTTCAGGTGGCAGTAGGCAGGGCTGAAAACTTCCCAGTTTAGTCACTTTTCCTAATGAAATACAGGATTGATAGTCTGTTACATACCCAAGATAACAAACGATCAATTAAAAACACACACACAACCTCTTTCCTCAGCTCTTCCCAAGTACTAAGCTCACCCAGATATAATCGCAGAGCCTCTTTCCGTAAAGGCTCCAGAGATGATAGTGAGCAGGGTATTTCTCATTTAGGCTCCAGTGATTTAAAAAAATTGTTCTTCAAATACTGCATTTATTTTTGTTCTGCTCTATAATAAATGCTGTGCGCATGATTCATCTCAAGAACAAAAAGACTGGAAATTAGACCTATCATTTGGAAAAGGTTACTGCCCACTGATTTAAAAATACAGTACCTTATGTTCAGTGCAGTTCTGAGTTTCTCTAATATTTTAA